TTCCCCAAAACAATTACATAATGGCAGACTTCTCATACAAATACAGATATAAGAGACAATGAAAAAAATCTCAAAGTTCAAAGGAAAGCCCTCCTCAAATTAGAACTTACACCTAGCCAAACTGGCATTCCAGAGAGAAGCCAAAATAAGGACATACATGAATTAAGAGGATTACCCAGAGAGTCTCACTAAAATAGGTACTGATGTAGTACTTTAGTAAGATTTCATAGAAAAGGTTTGTTACAAGAAATCAGAAAACACAAAAACTCACAAGCTGTGTAGGAAAAGCCAATTARCTTTAATAACACATTATTTTTCCTTTTTTTAAAAAAATTGAACTTAAAAGTCTACACAAGAACATCTAGGTGGTGATGAGCCGGTGTTCAACATGGTGGTATAAGCCTGCTTCTCATCAGCAAATATGGAGCTATTTGGTTTTTGGTTGGCAGGAATAACTGTAGACTTTGTAAGAAAATGTATAATTAAAGTATATATTCAAAGGTAATCAGCTAAAGGCTAGAAGTGCAGGCAATATGTAAAACTAAAACAATACTTAAAAAGGCAGGGCAAAAGAACACAATTACAAAAATGAATGATAAACAGCATAAATATGGTTTCAGAAACATATCTAAATATGTCAGTTATTATAAGTACAAATAGAATAAATTTGTTTGTCACAATGTAGAGATTATTCGATTATATTTAAGAAATATTATTTTTAAAATATAAAATTGCTGCTTTTAAAAGATAAGAATATAAGGGAAAGGGGAAGGATATCTTCCTGTTAATTATAAAGACAATATTAAAATTGGAATTTATTATGAAAAAGTCTTATGGTCCATGAAGAGTCTGACTGGTAGGTCAATGGCATACCAGTGGAGAGAGCCCAGGAACAGATTCYACACATAGGAAATTGATGTGACAGAAGTATAATTGCTGATAGGTGGAGAAAAGGATGGACTAGTTTCTGTATGATGCTGAGACAATGGGTTATTCATATGCAAATTTAAAATAATTAAATTCCTAACTCATATGATATACAAATGTCAGTCCTAAATGGAATGAAATAAAGGCCCTAATATGACACAAAACTTGCCAAAACTTTAGAAGTGAATGTAGAAGAATATTATTTCCAGGTTGGGAAGAATTTCTTAAGTCAAAAAAGCAAAGCACATAAAGCAAGAGATTGGTGAATTCAACAACATTAAAATGATAAATAACCTTTCATTTACCAAAATACATCATAAACAAAATTAAAAAATACCAGCCACACTCTAGGAGATGGTATTAGCAGTGCATGTAAGAGGTAAAGTATTGATATTCAGAATAATAAACTACAAATCAATAAAAAAGAAGCAAACCAGTAGAATATACACAAAGGGTCTGAAAAGTCAATTCACAGAAGAAACCTCAGCAACCAATAAATATATAGAAAAGATAATCAACCCCACTAGTAATTAGAAAAATAATAATAATATCATTTCACATTATAATCTCAACTGGTAAAATTCATAAGTCCAACAATTCTAAGTGTTGAGGATTCAGGGTATAGAAATTCTGATACTCTGCTGTTGGAAGTGTAAATATGCCAATAATTTTTGACCATTATGCAATAAGTTTGAAGATGTATATAATTAGTAATTTCTCTCCTATCATATGCCCTAGAGATACACTGATTACATACAAGGATACTTTCACAAAAATGCTCTTAGTAGCATTGTTTGCAATTGGGGAAAGCCATAAATAATTAAATTATGATTAATAAAATCAATAAACAAATTATCATACAACCATATATGGAATATTATATAGCAATTACTATTGATGAGGCAGACTAAAAGTACTCTATAGGAGGGGGCCATCAGAGAAAAGCTTCTGCTTAGAGCAAGAATCCCCTTGTCATGAAAAAAGCCTAGAAAAAAAGGTTGCTGCATAACTCTGTGGAGAGCTACTGTGCATCACAGGCCTAGGGAAATGAGGAACAGAGACTCAGGAACCAGAAGTAATGTTGAACAATMCTGAACGTTTGGTCTCTTCTATAATCCCAGTATTCACTCATGAACCAGAGCCAGGTGTATCAATGTGCATAAATCTCCACAATATAATAATGCATAGGGGAAAAGCCACAGAAAGACATTTTTAGCTTGATGTCATTTTTAGGAATTTGCAAAACAATACTGGTTGTATTTTAATATATAGATATAAATAAATGTTGAGTACATGACAGTGGCAGGGTGCAAGGGAGAGAAATGCAATCAGGGAAAAGTACTAGAAAGTCTCAACTATATCTATAATTTTGTTTTAAAAAGGGACTCTAGCAGAGATGGCACAATGCTGCCATGGTRAAGCCACGTTGCTAGGAAGGTGCCGATGTCTTGGGGGGCACCAGAATCAGGAGGCACCACAGCTTTGTAGGTTCAAACAGCAATTCTTTATTCCCGATCTCACACCAGCCTCCACACACGTTCAGGGGCAATTCCCATTATGTCCGATCCCAAATCCTACTCCAAAGGCTTTTTCCAAATCCCATTTTAATCTCAAGAGAACTCAACGGGAACAAGCAGCAGGAACACCCTAATCCCAGCATCAATAATCTTCAACCTCAACTTCCCTAAAACTCCTATTGTCACGCCCTAAACCCAAGGATGGAGATACTTCCTGCAGGAATACACCCTAATCCTGGATCCACCCTGGTGATTGAGCAGGGTCACCTTTCTCAAACACACAAGCAAGGTCGCAGCAAATTTCCAAGGCAAGTCCATTTAACATGGGGTACACTGGCAAGGATTACGATGCGTCATACCTACTTGGTAATGGCCCTCAGCAGGAAGGGGTGGTAAATGGCTGATCATTATGTTTCTAGTTTTTCTGAACATTTGAAATTATTTTCAATAAACAAAATAAATTTTAAAGAAAATACCATACTGACTGTTAAAGCTTCCACATTTCCAATCAGAATTTCAGAAGCCTCCTAGTCCATGAGGAATGGCTGCCTCAGACTGCAGTACTGTGTTAATGATGGTCTGGTGAGAAATATAGATAAACCAGTACCTCCTATTGACAGCCCCAGAGAGGTAGCAAGCTCACTGCTAGCTGCTATAGCTTCTGGTAATATGGGGGAACTGGAGTGAATTTGATAGTGAGAGACAGTTAATGAAAATGCTTTTGACATGAAATAGAGTCATCCAGATAATAGATGGTCTAATGGTGCTTCCTAACCTTTGAAGCACCCATGATAATATTTGTCTGAAACCATAGGAGTAGAGCTATCACCTTGAGGGGCTCCAGCTGCCCCAGGTCTACTTGTGCCCCTGAGAGCTGAGTGGATCAATATCTCACAATAGCACAAAAGTGTAGCCCTCTTGCAGAACACCAATGTGCCACAACATACCTTTTGGGAAGCACTGACCCAGAAGATATTCTTTTCTCAACTAAAAGGATGGATAATTATAAACCACTCAAACTCTGGCAGTGCTGAGCATTTTGCAATCCCATAGCTGTCTAAAAGGAGTGCACTGGGACTCACAACTACTCTGCTTGAATTTGTGCAGTAGCAATTAGGAGCAGAAAAATCTAGCATGGAATGCTCAGGGTGTGGCCACATGACACTAGGATGTGGAAGCAGATAACCTGGACAGTACATGTGTAGTGGAACACGACGAAATTTAAAAGGAGAGCAAGTAAACAGGATAGGACAAAAATAATCCCTAACTAGCACTTCAGTGAGGAGGAATTGATAGATCACATTAAAGAGACACTCCAGTTATGTCAGTATGTGATTTGGAATTTATATAAATGTTAATTTTATATATATATATATATATGATTCTGTGAGATAGAGTAAATGGGTTTCAAACAATTTTCATATTTATTCTTAAAGTCTCTATGTCAAAGGACTCAATTAGATGGAAATATAGCAAGACCACCTGAACTGAGTAGATCTACCTTATATTTGCAGTCACTGTCCTGTACACTTACATACAGCAGAAAACCAGCCTTTGTGCTAGGATAGCGCCTACAGAGAACACTTTCTCAATCTCTTTGTAAGTGACCACCTGGTCCTTTGATACAGCATGTCAAGTTTGGTGGGAGGCAGGGCTGACATAGTTCAGCTGTGCTGGTAATTAAAATATTGAAACACTATTATATTTATTGGTAATTAGTCATTTTTGAAGTGACCACCAACCCTGTCATATGGCCACTCTGCTCCACCTCTGGCTCCTTCTCCCAGAACCCCATCTACCACAGTTCAGTAACCAAAGTGTTAATACCTAGCACATCAGGTAGTCACCAGGACAGTTATCACCTTGTGGATGAAGAGGAACCCACAAGAATGCTCACTCCTTGGTCCCAAGAGAGAATCATATTTTTTGTTCTCCAGTTACAAGTTTGCTCCAGTTCCCAAATCACAGTAAAATACTTCTCTGACAAAACTAACCTGCTCAGCCTCTGCCTAGATGTCAGATCTAAGGGGAAAAAAATTGTAACCCCATCTCTACAGCTTTGTTGGGGGACGTGTCTTTTCTCCTCCTAAAGGGGAGAGACCAAAGTCATCTTGACTCTCAGCACAGTCAACAAAATCTGATCACTTTATTAGACTGGATCTTCCTCATGATCCATCCTTCCTTCATTCCCTGATACCTGTCAGGCAGCTTCCCTATTCCTCATGATTTTAAAACTTATTTGTTAGGAGAAAGGACACATCTTTGACACTTGAATCCAATGAATGATTTTGGGAAAACTTGACTCTAGAGTATGCAGTAACATCCAGAGTATCTATCAGCCCTGCATCTTCAGAGTCAGAAGGGGACAGCACAGACCTAGGATGGACAAAAGAAAACTATCCCTGGAGCAGGGGAAGAGGAGTATCATTCATGGTGCAAAAGTTGTGCTGTTCATCCAGGGAGTCAGAGGCAGGAATTGCATATGGATAAGCAGCAAGGCATCAATCTGGGAAATGGGGAGAAACAGTGGCAGAACAGTCAGTTGCTCCTACTTACCGGGGCTGGTTATTGTCAAGAGGTCAAGCTGCCGCTGTTGCTGTAAAAGAAAACACATTGTAAGAGTACTGATTTGAGCCAGAGCCAAACTTGTGCATAGAAATTCAGGGAGGATGTACAAAATATATCTGGACACACAGGGCAGTGTCAATTTTGCACACATGGTGCTAATGCATAAATCTGACCAGCGGCCTTGCATCCTAGAGTCAAGGGGGAAGGGACGGCCTTTTACCTGTCCTTGGAAGCATAGATGGTCAGAGCTGAGAGGGCCTTAAAGGTCTCCCAGTCAAACCTATACTATATTAAAGAAAAAACGAGATCTGAGAGAAATGTGGCTTATTTAAGGGCCACAAAAATGGTCCTATTCAGTCTCCTAGCTCAAGCTCACTCCTCTGTATCAGGCAAACTCAGAGTTCTCTTGCTCACACTAGGTGCATTGCTTGAGTGTTTGATAAACTGGAAATGCTCCTTGCCTTGGGTGGTGGTGTTATTTTTACCATTTATAAATACTTTCTAACCAAGATACTTCTGGGCTGGTTTATTGCTTAACAATGCTATAACAATTTCAATTAATGGTGATATGCTCATTCYTTTTCTAACTGAATCCTCATCACTTTGTAGCATACAACATCATACAAATTAATATTGGTGGAGCACACTAGGCCATATGCATGATGCTGCTTTTGTTTGGAGGCAACTGGCCTTGGTTACTTCAAGGGCTGAGGTGATCGATATCTCAGAAGACTTGTTCTCTGTCACAGTACACCTACTGTGAAGCTCTGAGATAGATGTCATGAGAGCCTGAGTGCAAAGAAGTGGGTATAGGAGGCCCCTGATGGGGCAGTGGTGAGCAGATCCTTTGAAGACTCTATTCAGGACTTTTTAAGCTGCAGTCTTCATGCTGACCTGTTTCTCTTTCCTAAACTTGATATTTCATAAATAGTAATGAAAAATCTACATTTTTCTTTTCTTAAAAGCATCCAAACAAACTCCACTTTGAGAACCACTAATCTAGGCTTCAAATTGCAGGAGCTTTGGATCACTAGGTATTTCATCCAGTGGTTGCCTTACTACACATCTTACCTTAACACCATTTCCCTCTTTATCTTGCYTTTCTCCTAGAATATTTTCCTGAAATTCAACTTAAGCAAAAAAGGAAGGCAGCAACATTTTTTTTTTGAGAACCAACTAAAGGCCACATAAATATGTATTTTGATATAACATTTCTTTTCAGACACTTGACAGTTCTACAGGGTAAGTATTGTACAGAGGAAGGACAYGGCATTCAGGGAAGAGAAATTACTTGGCCAAGACCACACCTTCATTAAATGGAAGGTCCAGAATAAGAATTCAGTTAGCTCTAATACTATCACTGAAATTCAAGATATGACAATGCACATAAATCATCTAGCATTATGTCTGACACTTAATGGGTTCTCAATAAAGAAAATCTACTTACTATTGATTTTGTTACTTTTATAGAACATCTGACCCTTGTTTCTATAAGATGCCTCTTTGCTTTTCGTAGAATTATGGATACTTAGAGCTCAGAGGTCATTGACTTGGACCTGCCTCCAGGGAAGGAGTCCCCTCTGCAAAATCCCCAACAATTATACAGACTATTTTTGTTTCATTCCTTTTTTTGATAGGAATTCACTACTTGTTATTGGTTAGAACAGGTCAAAGCACTGCTTTCTGATGACATCACTGTTTCCCATGGCAATAGCTTGGAGGTCTGGAGGTGATCTGTATCTTGTCTCTCCAGGCTTAATATTCCCTGAATCTCTCTTTTTCTCATGGAACCTGGTCTCAAGTCTCCTGACTTTGGGTCACCCTCCTTCTCCATTCAACTTTGACTTGTTCCAGYCGAAACCTCTTTAAGATCTCTCTACTCTTTTCTTCTGACTTCTCATGGACCTTCTGAAAGCAGGCCTGCATCCTTTTGGGGCTTTCTAAAGCACACAACCCTGTTTTCCTTCCAGCTCATAACTCATTCTAGTTGACATTTTCAAGCAAACATGTAATTCTGAGATATCACTGATCTATTCAGTGAGCACAAATTCTCCAGCTGAAATGAAACACACACATGTACTGGTTAGAARGAATGCTGCAGCCAGACAGCCTCCCCTCCAAAACAGAACCAKAGCAGTGGGAAAAGTGGCTCAAGCTATCTTTGCCAAGGTCAACCTGTGTTGCTTGTCACTTTCCTCATGCATGAGGGATACTGTGTCCTTCTTTTTCCACAGGCTTAACTTTCTGATGATCACAGTTGGTAAAGGAGGTTAATTTGTCTTAAAAGTGTCAGTTAAGAACTGTTATTAAATGTTGACTGTGCCCAGGGTCCAGTATTAAAAAAAAAAAAAAACAGGAAGAAAATCTGGCAGGAGTCAGAACACCTGGGCATGTGTCCTGGTTTCTTTGTACAACTTGCTGCCTATATCTGGTCTTAAACTTCACAACTCTAAAATGGACAAGTGAAGCTGAAATACCATTAGAGACTCAGAATCAAATGATGCAACCAGCTATGTGCTTGTGAGCTCCCTCTTCTGGTGTAGAGTCCTCTGAGAACCCCTGGGGCTAGACCACTGGGGTTCTAAGAACAGAAGCAGAATTTAAAAGGACCACATTTAAGCTGTACTCTCTCATTGCAATTTTCTGTGTTATGTGAGTCTTTCTCACTACACAAGGAGCATCTTAAGGGGCCAGGAAATCTATTATTCACCTTTGTTACATCAGTCTTTGTGACCTTTGGGGGCCTTCTCAATCACATATCCCTGTTTACTGGGTAGCTTTCAGTGAGTATTTGCTAAGCTCAACTGAACTAATCCCCAAATCCACAACATCCTTTAAGCCTCAATGCCTTTGCTTATGCTGTTCTGCCCTGAGGCCCCCCTCACTGTCAAGTGAAGTCTACTCTGTGTACCAACTCCAACCTTACTCTCTTCTTTCCCTTCCTCAGAGAAGAATGAGTATTTCATACTTTGTTCTTCCAGTGGATCTTGTAAAACCCATCTTTTGTATTCTGCTCTGTCTTAATTGTCTATCTTCTTGTCTGCCTTTCTTACTAGGTCTTTACTTGATGACAGTAATTTATTTCATTTCATCTCTATGCCTCCAGTGCTCAGAACAAAGGCCTTAAAGAAATGTTTGACGTCATATAGCTTAAATGATTTAAGTATTCTGTTATTCCCTCTGCAATGATCCTGTTAAGTAGGAACAAATCAGCATGGAATGTAAGCACGTTCCTCCCTCTAAGACTTTTCCTTGGGCACATCTTTGAGGTCTCTTGCCTTTCGGTTTTGCTCCTGCCATTTCTGCAGCCAGCCACACAGTCTATCCATGTTCTCTGAGACAGCTTTCTTTCTTTACTCTTGCCTACAGTATCACCATCTCTCCAGGACTTCTACAGCTTCCACTATCTGTACCACCCCTGTGCTGATGAATTAAATCTAACCCCTTGACAAACTCATTTAACTTGCAGTTCACTAACATATGTGTGTACCACCTAGTGGCACAAGCAGGTAAGTGTAGGCTATTGTTTTAAATGCTGCAATGTGTGTTCTGTATGCAAATGAAACAAAAGTGTATATTCCAGAAAGACTCTGCAACAGATTTTTAGCCACTAAATTGGAAAAGTCAAATAATTCCCCCCAAGATATTTCAAAATTTTATAACTAATTTATCTGGCATAATCACTGAAATTACTATGGCATTTGTAAACATAGGGCACAAGACTTCTGGAATTTCACCAATAATGTACAATCACTTATATACAGTGAGGGGCATCTTCCACATCAAGAATTATAAAATTATTATAATTAGCTAGCAACTAATAGAGGTAAGAACCTCTTCCATGAAGGTGATACATTAACTTCCTGGAAAGTAGGATATGACATATTAGCTAGAGAAAATAAAGTTGGTGAGATAGGTGGCTGCTAACTGTTGAGCCACTAGTTGATCAAATACTACATCTAAGGAAGACAGAGCCATTATGTGTGTGTGTGGTTGTGTTGGTATGTGCATGTGTGTGTGTGTGCATGTGTGTGYGYGTGTGTGTGTGGGTGCACCTGAACACTTGCACTTGGATGGGGAGAGGACATTCCTCTTTGTGGCAAATAAATTCCATACCTAGACAGATGGGCATGAGTGTATGTGTACCTGTGTGATACTTCATGGGATCCTGGAAGGATGTGAGTATGCCATGCTGGATTAATGAGGCATCTATCAATACCTGACTGGTTACAAGGACTACATCCAGCCTTCCTAGGTGAAAGTGGTAAACATGGACATTTAGAAGAAACACATTTCTGGGATTAACTACTTTGTGATGAAGGCTGAGCATAACCCCTTAAAGGCCATGGTGAATTGGGGTTCTAAGCGCTAAATAGGAGTAATATCTAAATTCATATTATCCAGAGATTGCCAGAGAATCTACAATGGAAGCTTATGGGATTGTCTACAAGTATCCTAGCCCCAGGAGCATCCATTATTCCACCAGCATCCAGTGAACTCTGTTTTGTTAGTACAATGTTACCCCACCTATGGTTACCTTGACTCTCTGGAGGATGGAAGTACTAAAAGTAGGGCTAATTAGAAACCTCACCCAGAAATTCTGGACCTTTTATAGGTTCAGTTATCTTCAGTGAAAGCTGTAGTTGTCCTAAGTATCTATCTTCAAAATTTTTGTAATTATGAAATAACACATGCTTATTTTGTCTCAAATTTACAGAAAATTTAGAGTAAAAATAAAAAAAATCAATTATGTAATTATGAAATAACAATACTTATTTTTGTCTCACATTTATAGAAAATTTAGAGTAAAAGTAAAAATTAATAAAATTTTACAACTAAAGGAGAACCATCATTAATATTTTGGTGTATTTTCTTGTCATCTTTATCACTCTATTTAATGAGATTGTATTTTTAAATAACAAATGCAGTACATTTTAATCTTGGGCAAAATTTTGTTATCTTTTTGTCCTTGGTTGTCTTTATTTTGAAGTTGAAAAGTACAAGTCAAATATATTTATTGTCATAAAT